GTGTCTTCATCATCTTCTTGCGGTCCTTCGTCTTGCGAGTCATCTTCATCATGCTTCCAGGTCTGCATCGAGGCGAGTGATGGCAAATCCACATTCTCCCCCTCATCACGAGCATGGGGGCAAAGCTTCAGGTGTACCGTCTCGATCATGCGCCTGGTGTCCAGCATGTAGACTTTGTGCGCCAATTTGGCAGGGGAAAATCCCACGTAGACCCCTTTGCGGGCCTTTGGACCAAACTTTGACCTGCGGTGGTCCTTGTCACACACGTATGCATCTGCACCAAACGAGTGCAAATCGAGTAGCGCATGCGGGTTTTTACCATGCAGCAGTTGATAGGCCGACATGTTGTTGTACACGCTCTTGACCTTGATGTTGATCAAGTACTCGGCGTGCTTGGCGGCGAAGCCCATAACCTATTGAAAGACGATTTGAGCTGAGACAGTAAAGCGGTTCAATTGCACTTCTCTCACAGGAGAGAACGATAGAAAACAGGAAGGGAAATATCCAAAAGAAAATGCCACTCACGGTCAGCGGGACCGTACTTATAATCTGGTGGCTAAACACACCCAGAGTGTACGAGAGGGTTCCTCGACGGGCGGCGGCAGCTGCACATCGTCGAGTACATTGATGCAATCCTTCCAGAGGGATCTGGCAGGTGGTCGATGCTTGCACTCCAATACCACTGGCTGACGCTTCGTGGTGTGGGTACAAGTCAAAGGGGGTGGTCAAGACGCGAATGGGAAGGGAAGAAGATGAGTGAGGAGTCGTGCCCTTGAAGTTTGGACACGGGTCCAAGGAGGTTGCTTACAATTAACCGTTTCTGGGGTTTGTGGTCGTTCACGACGCGTGTTGGGAGAAGTAGGTAGGGAGTTGAGGCAAGAGGTGGCATGGCCTCTGGTGGGGGTGAGCGGTTGGGGGTGTCCTCAAGTTGGAATTTGGGCGTGCGTGTGCGAGAACCTGTGTGTTTATTGGTTGCCCGAGGTTTGATGCCAAGGGAGGCTTGGAATGGGGAGTAGTCGTCATGGAGGCAGGTGGCAGGTGGCAGGTGAGAGAAGAAGACGCCATGGTTGATCGGGGAATCAAAAGTGCCTGTTAGCAGTGGGGTTGGTGGAGCAAAAGTCGGCTTTTTCACTTGGCCCACCCGGAGACCCACATTCGGGTAGGGAGGGTTGCAGCGGCTTCTCGTTGCGAGGCGGACAGGCACTCGCATCACACTGTGCAAGCAGCGGAGATTGCACAGTTCTTGGCTGGCAAGTCGGACGGGAATGTCGCGGACAGCCACTGCTGCTGTTGAATGATGTTGCGCAGATGGTGTAAATCAATCATACCCCACGCACCCCTCACGTCAGCCTCCACCAACAGCAGCACCCCGCGCAGAGTCGTACGCCTGCGCGCGCACACACACACACTTGATCTCGTTCACCGCCACCGCCACCGGATCCATGCAAGCAAGCATTTTATTTTGAATTACCGATAATGACGTTTTTGTATTTTAACTTATTCAAAACTTCCCACTAAGAGACCGGGAGACTAAGAGACTCGAGGAGACCCTGACCCTGTAATTTCAACTCTTACCCTGTATTTTGTCATGCTGTTGGTGCAGTTTGCTTTCCACTGAACGGCAGCGCGCGCAAAAGTTTTTTTATTTTTTCTCTCTCTCTCTCTTCCGCTGGATCGACGAAAATGGCAGCCGGGTATCATGAGGTCGTCTACGACGATGGTGACACCTACAAGGGTGATTGGAACGCCGAGGGCAAGGTAAGAGAGTTGGAACCAAGTCGAGCCAACTCCACATCAACAACAGAAACAAGAGGGTAAAGAGTGGAACAACACAACAAGGAAAAAGGGGCGGAGACACGACGTCTCGGGTCCGGGTCAAGGGCAGGGCGCCGAATCCTCCTCCGCGCCCTGCTGGCCCCGACCAAGGCACCTTGGCATGGCAGAGTTGACTTGGGGAGAACCGTGTGTTGAAGATCAGTCCGTTTACCCCCCTCCCCCACTTCCTGACGTTGGCCTTGGCGCCGTCTGATCTGGTGCGCTCCGATCGTGATTTGTGTGCATTTGCAGCGTGACGGGTTTGGCGTCTTGACCTTTGCCGACGGCGCCCGCTACGTCGGTCGCTTCCGGGCCGGCCTTTGCGAAGGCAAGGGTGTCCTCACTTTTCCTGGTACGGTTTGACCACAAACGCCTGGCATCCCATGCCTGCCGTACTCCTCACCGCCCCCGCTTTTCTGCATCAAAACCCGGCTCGCTCATCGTCTCGTCGGGTTTCTTCATTCTTCATCTGCGCCCAAACCCCAGACAACAGCAAGTATGAAGGTGACTTCAAGAGCGGCAAGTACGATGGCTTTGGCATTTACGCACGCGCCGACGGCATGAATTTCAAGGGCGAGTTTCGTGCAGGTCAAGCCCAGGGCATGTACGTACCCACAACTCGAGCCGCCACCCTCTTGTACTCTTGATATGTTTGCGACATTGATGCTCGGTATTTCTCTTTGGTCTAACCTTCCGCATTCTCTTTTACATTTCTTTTCCTTCTTGTCTGCTCGGTTTCCAGGGGCCTGCTGACCTTTTCCGATGGTACCAGTGGCCAACCACGCCAAGAAGGTTTGTCTGCCGACTCACCTCTTCTCCCAAATAACACCTGCTTTTTTTTTTCTCTTTTTTCTTTTTTTTTTTTCTTTTTTTTTTTTTCCGTGTTCGTTTGCGCGCCATCTCCTTCTCTCGCCCTCACCCTCACCCCACCTTCATATCGCCGTGCATCTTGCCATCCACCAGGCGAGTGGGAGGGTTCCACCCTCAAGCGCCGTACCCAGGCTGCCGACGCCGTGCGAAGGGCCGAGGTTTGTTTCGTTGCTCGACATTGCTTCACTTTTGCCCCAGGACCCACCTCTTTTGCTCATCTCAAGCTTGTGCATTTTCCCGTCTTGTAGGAGGCTGCTGGTGAAGCTCGCTCAGCTGCCAAGTAGAGCCCTGCCATTTTGCATCACTGACTGCCCTTGCGAACCTTTTGATGAGCAACATGCTGCCGACCAGAGTGCACACATGTACTGCTCCGTCTCTGGCCAGGACCCACCAAGGGTAGACTTTTTTTCCTCCTCTTGCCTTTTCAAAAGCAATATCACCTGAATTGGCCTTGTCTTTCCCGTCTCGCCTCTTTGTGCGCACATTGTTCGCAAACTCGACATGATGCGAGTTGCTCCCGTGCCAGTCCTGTTCTCGTCTTATTCCCCTTGTTCCCCTGTCCTGTTTGTTTGTTCGTTTGTTTTGGCATCATCGACTCTTTGTTTCGAGCAGTTTCTTGCACGTGCTGGTCTTGTTTGCAAGCTGCACCGCCGCCAATCTCCAATTTAGTTGTCCCTAAGAAATTTCGTCCTGGATCGATGCGCGCCTTCTCAGGCCCTGTCCGGTTTAGGTGATCAACTGCGTCAATCCTGGGCTCTGCTGAAAGCAACAAATTTCCACAACCAAAGCCGAGACGTCTGGAAAAACAGTCGCGTGGTCATCTATGCACGATTGACCTGTGGGGAACGGCGATTGATCTTGTTGTGGTTCTCAAGGTGCTCGCGCCACCCACGTCCCTCGTGCGGTAGCTCGTCCATGGCACTGTTAAACATGTCTGTCAAGCATTGCATTTCATTTGAAAGCACGAGTGAGACCTGCGATCAATACTTCCCAAAGCCCCTCAAATGCAGCCAAGCCATCAACCCGTCATGTCCTGCAATATCACTTACAAAAGAGAGGGTAGTGAATGAGATTGAGGAGGGTGCTGCTGTACAGGTCGGCATACTGCTGCGACTGGCGCGCAAATAGGCTTTGCTTTGTGCCAGATCGGAAAGCACTACCAAAGTACTTGTTGAAGCTGCCGTCTATGGCCACGGCCGTGTTGTCCAAATCCTTAATCAACTCGGTTGTGCTCGGCTGCTCCTGCGTGTCCGAAGCCAGACCGCGGTACACCTCGGCCAACATAAACTCGAGGTTCTTCAAGTGCTCGTAGTGCGGTGCGGAGCGACGCAATCCCTCAAACTCTCTAACACGATGAAACGCAGCGAAATTGAGGCGTGGAAATGAGAGAGAGAGTGAGTGAAAATAAAAGGCCAGAAAGAAAGTCGTGCCGATGACTTACTGGCGTAGTTCGGGCATGATCAAGAAAGTCCTGGCCAAAGATTCAAGTTGGCAACAGAAATGGGAACGTGAGTTGTGCCACTTGGACAGAACTCAAGCCACGGAAGAGACAAAAAGGCGCACATACCGCCAGCCAGACAGCTTCTTAGACTTGAGGACGTCACCAAAGATGTGGTCGCCCGCATACAGGATACGCTTGCCCTCGCACTGCAGCAAAAAGTTGAGGTGCTCAACAGAACCGCCGGCAAAGACACGCCCGTGGGGCGAGCTGCCCGTGTATTCGCCCAGCTTGAGGGCGCCGGTCTCCTGGTCCACCTCGCGGAGAGCGGTACCCGTGTCGGAGAAGAAGGCCGGCTTGCGAGCTGATACAATGATAACGTCAAAGTAGTCCTTCCACGACTTGCCCTTCAACTCCTGCTCAAGACAACACCATACGCGCGCCAGACATGAGCAAAACCCGGAGGAGCGTGCAAGAGCTGCCATCTCGCACATCAGGGGACGTACATCGGGCACTTCGACATCAAACAGAAAGCTCATGATGGTCTGGGTATACTTGTAGTCGGAGTTGGTTACCACAAACAAGCCTTTGCCCACCTGGCGGAAGCTGCGGTGCACATGGTGTACGGGCAGCAGCCGTGTTTTGGTTTTAGCAATGCACGCCGCAAAGTCATGGCGTTTGGGGATATCTGGTCAGCGGGTGTCGACAAACCGGTGCAACAGCAAAGGAAGAGCCGGATCCTGCTTCACGTAGCGGGGCAGGTTGGCAGCAATCTCGTTCTTGAGATAGCCCTGTGGTATGTGCGCAGGCAAAGGGTGAAGCACGGGTTGTTCAAACCAGGCAGGTAAGATGACCATCTGAACACCAGACATGCCGTTCTTTGAAACAAGGATCCACACCTTTTCATGGACCTTATCGACTGCGTGCCGAAGGTCCGTGTACATGGACTCGTAGGACAGGTAGACCTGGCCACGCTGAACACCAAGGTGGTCATCGGTGCGGGTGTACTTTTCGTGGTTGTCAAAGTAAGAGACCATGTCGGCAAACAAAGAGGTTTCCGGGAGTGCAAACAAGGTGTTGACCACGTTGAAGCGCTTGCTGCCAATCTCATGTGAGTAGAGAAAGGTGGAAGGGTAGCGCTCAATGACTTGTTCCCAAGGCAGGAGCTGATTGCCATGGTACACGCGCAGGATAAAGCCATAGCCATCCGTTTTCAGAATGTTGCCCAGTTTGAGATCAATAATCAGGCCTATCGCCAGGGTTCGCCGTCACATGAGCGGGGACAGGGCCTGAAGCGAGGCCAGCTGAGAGTATTCATGGTAGCCACGTTAGCCTGACCTCGAATGGTAAAGTCTGGATTGAAGCGGAATTGCTTGAGTTCCTCGTCATAGCCCATTTCAAGGAGACGATCGACAATCAGGCTGTACGTCAACTCCTCGACAGCCGGGGAAATGTATTCTGACGGGGACAGGGGCGGGGGGCGAAAACACGCGGGCGTTCAGCATGAGAGCCATGGTGTGCGATGATTGCGTCGGCAGCTACTTTCGTTGGGCCAAATAACGAGGAAAGTAACAAACCAGCCAGCGTGTAGTCCATGTCAAAGCCACAATACTCAATGTTGCTCAGGTCCAGGTTCCGGTTGCAAAACACACTGCGCAGAGAAGTGGGGAGGGGGGTGTCAAAAACGAGATGAGAGCACGACAATCCGCAAGATCACAAAAAAAAAAAAAAAAAAAAGGCCGGAGATGATCCTTCCAAAAAATATCTCACCGCTGGTCGTTGTGGCGCTTGTAAGTTTCGGGCAGGTCATCGACGGGCATGTCCTGGTAGTTGGCCAGCTCATCGCGCGAAGGCGGCAAAGAGAGCTCCTCAAGGCGCAAGCCATTCTAGCAAAAGGGGATTGTGGAGGTACGAATTGAGATGGCAGAAATGTGAACATTGATGGAAGAGAATCGCATTGAGAGAAACCCACCTGGCGTTTGGGTCGCTTCGGATCGGTCACGCTGTGACGAGAGCTGCCGGCGCAATGGCCGGGGTTTGGCGAGGGGCAGACATATGCAGTAATGGGCAGCATGATGAGGGCGTGGGCACAGGCAGGAGCACGTCATTTAAGAGGACGGAAGAAAAGGTGTTTGCAGCTGCCTCGAAGTGCGGGGAGAAAATGCGACCATTCAAGGCAACACGAAGAAGCTATCTGGTTGATGTGCGACAGAGGGGAGGAAGATGATGTCGATGTGCGCGTGTGAACGTCTTTGTGTACGTGTGGATGTGTGCGTGAATGTGAATGGGAGTGGCGGAGAGTTGGCAGGGAGCGAGAGCGAGAGCGAGAGTCGAGAGGACGACGACGACAAGACTGAAATGACCCACAGAGGGCTCCAACTTGGCAACCAACACACGAGCTTGGGGACAGTGTGGCGTGGCAAGACGATTATGTTTTCATGTCCACGTACGCAGAGGCCCCTCACACACACATACACAGAGGTACAAGGGACGGGACCACGGAACTCTGAGAGGACTTGGTGAAGCGCGGCAGAGGAGGAGGGGGAGGTGCCAACATCAACAGCAATTAAAGGGTTGGGGAAAGGCTTTGTTGACGTACGGTTCACCACTGCGGTTGGACATGAGCCGCTTAACCTCTTGTTGGGGCGGCGCAGACACGTCCGCGTTGCCGTTTGCGGCACTCATTCTTCCAGTGAGACGCAAAAGCGCAAGACCCCCACTGTGCAACAACAGCCCCGAGGACACGATCGATACGCGCGCGAGAGAGAGAGAGAAAAAAATGTGAGAGAGAGAGAAAGAGAGAGGGCGCGCGCCGCTGGACAGAGAGAGAATACGGTTCAAGCCTCCGTTTCAGAAGTACCTGTTTCCCGAGAATAACGTGTAGTGTAAAACTATACATGAAAGCAGAGATGTACCAAATGGTGTTGCTCCATTCAGAGATGGGGTTGATGACAATGAGGAGAGAATGAGTCACACCACCTTACTGAAAATCAGGGATAGCAGGGCTTCACCGAGAATAGTCAGAGAATAGCGAAAATCACGGGTTATGCATTGTAGTAAACTAAAGGTTAAACCAGAGAAAGGCGTGCGCCCATGGTCATTCTTCAGAGATGTTGACTCAAATTCAGGTCGAATGCAACATCTGCAATGCGCCAAAATACCTCCCCCCAAAAAAAAATAAAAAAAATTCAGAAAAATTGATTCCGTTCATGGCGGTCGTTCTTTCATGCGGCAGGCAGGAGCTGGAGCCACTTCCTTACTCGCCGACACTCACGAGTAGTCTCGGTTCATTCGAATGTCTTCCTTTGACTTGATGCGGTCGACAATGGACCGGCCAATCGCAAACGCAGCGGTGTCATGTTCTGAGAAAATCACGACGTGCTAGCCAAGGGTATAGCCTCTCTTACAAACGAGAAGAGAGCTGCCGAGACAAAGTTTTTTAAACTGGGAGGTAGATTTCTTTTTCTTCCTTCGACGTCATGGGCGACATGATAATATCATTAGGGGTCACATCGAGTGCAAATCCGATTTAAATTGGGGCGGTGAGCGCTGCATGGAAATCCTGTTGTAGAAGGGCCCAATGGCACATCTTCGACGTGTCGTGCTGTCACTCCAAGCTATCCACGGTCTGGCGGAGAAGGTGGCACAGATCCTCTTGGAATGATTCAATGCCCTTGTAGCCAGGAAAATAATTGACATCCACAATGTAGTGCACGCTCGTCTCAGCTGCCACTATAACTGCCGGCAATCAAGGCGGAGGGCAAGCGATCAAGACCAGTGACAACCGCTGCCCAGTTTAAAACGGGCGAAAACAAACCATCAAAGCCAAATAACGTGAGACCAAGGTGTTGGCGCATTCGGTCGGCCAGCAGGGCCAGGTCAGGCCGACGCAGAACGTTGCTGGCCAGAGCTGTCTTCATGGCCACAGCCTAAAAGTATGTTTGTAAATGAGCAACCGTATTCACAGCCATCGACGACGCAGCAAGACAGAGAGATAGAGAGACAGAGAGACAGAGAGACAGAGAGATAGAGAGATAGAGAGATAGAGAGATAGAGAGACAGAGAGACAGAGAGATAGAGAGACAGAGAGACAGAGACAGAGAGACAGAGACAGAGAGACAGAGAGACAGAGAGACAGAGAGAGACAGTCAGGCACACTCAGCCCCCCCCCCCCCCCCCCAAAAAAAAAAAAACATACGTCATTCAAGTAGGTTTGCGAGTGTGCTTTGGACACGTCGTGAGAATCAAAGGCCATAAGGGTTGCTTCACCCCGCGCAGCAGGGTCCACGTTGCGAATGGATGGGCGTGGCACTACGTGATGCCGGTCACCGAGAACAAATACCTGCAACACAGAAAACCCACCAGTGACAGGGCCTTGGTGGTTAGGAAGACAGAACCACAACACTCGCCGAGCGTTACACCGTCGCACCTTGTACAAGAGTGCATCGTGGTCATAAAAGTTTTGGCACAGAACCGGGTAGCTGAGCTGCTCCAGACAGGCCAGGTTGTTGACAATGCACATGCGGTGCGCATCACTCGAGCCATGTGCTGGTAGAGGTTTTACGATGAGCGGCCAGCGAAGCGCAGATGTGAGCCAGCCGGCGGCCTGGGGAGCGCTGTGCGCAACGCGCGACGGCGGAATAGCAAAGCCATCCGGCAGTTGCGACGACAGCTGCTCCAGCAGACCCAGGGTGGCGCCCCGATCCACCAGCGGTCTGACACGTGGGAGAGGGTCTAGCACGCGCTGGCTTCCCGAAGCGGTCCACGCCTACACCGGTCGCCGAAAAAAAAAAAGGGTCGTGACCATTGGCATGTCAGTCACTCGACACCGCCAAGGGGTTGGAAACGACTTACCTCGAGCTGGTGGACAAGGGTTTCTGCTGTCGTGTCTCCTTGCTCAAGGCGCGCCAGTTGGTCTGTCAGCTTGTGTATCAGCACTTTGGCACCCATCTTTTCCAGCTGCGTTTGCAAAGCCATCGTGCACAACGACAAGTCAACCCAAGGCCGGCAAGCAGATGGACCGGCCTGGTTGGCTGGCAGCATGTATCTCACTTGGTCAAGCGTACACGCTTCAGGGTCGATGGCCACGAGTCGGAGCCGGTGGCTGCACGTGGAGGCCGGGCAGCAAAACAGTGAGCATGGCGCTCCAGTCTACATCCATCTCGGGTCCAGCGCCGCTTGAGCATGGTTGTATTCTCACCGTCGCGCCGCCTGCATCAGCTCCTCAAACCCCAGATGTGCCTGCTTCTTCCGAGACAGCAGGCAAGCCACGACCGGCGCATCCCGTCCTTCTCCATCCTCCCACTTCCGACCCGACGCTCCCCCACAGACACAAGCCTCCTCCCCCACCACCATCCCCATTTTCCAAGCCTCCCCCTCTCCCCCTCATGAGATGCTCCTGCTCCTCCCCTTCCCTCTTGCAACGTACACCAGGGCTCAGCTACACCCCCGCGCCCCGCGCCCGCGCGCCTCTCTCTCTCTCGCTCGTTCCGGTTGCAAAAACGAGCCAACTTTATCTGACATTTTCACAGCCATTCAATATAAGAAGGGTGTTTTAAACTTTGTTTGCCCCCTTTGCGCCGAGGTTAAGGCCGGCGCCGCACACAAACGGTTCAAGGAGGGTTTGTCAAGCTAGCCTAAATTTAATTTTACGTTGATGCTAGGTGGTGGTGGCTCAAGGTTTAGACGGTAACTTCAAACTTGGTGCCAGCATCAATGGTGAGCCGACGGTAGTTCTCCCGGAAGCCAGTCATGAGTAAACCCGCAGTCAGACAGGCGCCGACCAAGGTCCAGTTGACCCAGGCGTTGCCCAGGTGTGGGACGTCTGGCATCAGGAGAAAGACGAGGCAAAACACGTTGTTCATGGTCGTGAGCATGGTTGTCGTGGTGGCCTCGGAAATTGGGTAAGCGACCTGCGCAATTCGTCAAAGACGTGCACACACACACACCCACACCCACAAAAGGCCAAGTCGTCAGGTGCGAGCGAATCTTAAACTCCTCCATGGGGACGCGAAGAGAATGGCAAGGAGTCCACCTACCTCAACGGCAATTTCGAAAAAGAGCGGCATGCTGGCGTTGACAAGGCAGCCGCAGGCAATGCTGCTGATGTACGCCAAGTCCAAGCGGAAAGGCAGGGTGTGCGTGCACATCAGCGAGAACCAGATGGCAAAGCCGCCGCCCAGTAGGTTCATGACCTGCCAAGATGCGCGGTTAGATCACGGTGGAGTGTCGGACGGGATGGCAAAGAGGCCCTGCAAGAAGCCAGTGTCTTGACACACCACAAGCATAAGCTTCATCTTGCCACCCAGGCGGTCTGCAACCCGACTCATGATGACGCCAGATACACAGCCGGAGAGAATGGCGTAAAATCCCAGCCATCCAGATTCACTCTGGGCCTTTTCTCGGCTGAGAAATTGCTGCATGTCGCAACAAAGCCCAATGGCGCGAGCAATGTTGGTGTGAGCTAGTCCGTGATACAAGAAAAAACACAAGCTAGGGTCGAGGCAGCGACCCAGATATAAAAGACTGACCTCAAGGTTGGGCAAAAGATAGGCCGACCAGCCCGAAAAGACGCCAGTCACAACACCATAAGAAATCGAGGCAATCCAGAAGCTGCGGTTGCGGAATAGCTTCCAAAAGCCCTCCCCAAAAGACTCGCGCGCGTGGCCAGCTGTCACCGATGGTAGATTGGGGGGATAATTGGGAAAGTAGGCCACGGTCAATATCAACACCACCGCCGCAAACGCACATTCTGTGTACATGTAGCGCAACAGCTGCGCAAATCAAAGTCAAAACAACAAAATCCCCACAACGTGTCAGAGTCAAGAGGTGCGAGATGCGTGCGGTGTCGGGAGGGGTGCTGCCGTACCTCTTGGCCGATGCGGTCGCGTTCTTCAGACGTCGCATCCTTGGATAGCTCACCAACCATGGCTGGGCCCACCAGAAAAGAAAAGGCAATGCCCACGTAGTTGGAAACGGCGATGAGAGCCGTGGCCGTGATGCGCTGATTTGATGGAAACCAGGCGGCGCTGAACACGGGGCCAATTGACATGCTCACGGGGCCTGGGGGTGATAAAGTAGCAACATGCGGTGAAAATCAACGGGAGAAGCCTGTGGCTGGCAAGACGCGAAACGCGGGAAAAAAAGCGGATCGTACCGGCCAAGCCATTGAAAATCTGAGCAATGTGAGTGAGGATGGTTGCGGCCGGGTTGTGAATGGTGATGCAGTGCAGCGCGCAAGCAGCAGCACAAAACCCAGCGCCCAAGAGCATTGAGGGTCGCGGGCCTTTGGACATGACCCAAGCCATCACAAAGAAGCATGACAAGTAGACAATGCAGCCCCAGTTGGCCAGGAGCGCGATGGTGCCTGTAATGCACCCGATCAGTCAGAACCGGTGACACGGCATGCGCGGCACGACAGGTGCGGCTGCGTTGGGGGCAACATACCATTGCTCCAATGAAACAGAGGCTCTACGGCGTCTGAAATGGGCCCGTAAGTGTTCCAAATAAAGCCTGCATTGGTGGTGCCGACGCAATCGGTGAGTACAGCGGGTAGGTCTGGATCATCAGGGGGGACAAGACCGCCCGCCGGGTCCTCCCACCTTGCTCAAAAGCCATGGCACATGCCAGAACGAGAAGGTACCAGCGCACGGGCGAGACCTGTAACTCGCCGGAATCGCGTGGCAATAGCGGCTGCAAGTTCGACGGGTAGGCGCCATCCTCGTCGTGAGAACGGTGGGCTTGCAAGGAAACAAGAGCGAGGGAGCGAGAGAGCGCGCGCAAGCGAGACCAAAACAAAGCAAAGCCGGAGCCGGCTTCAATACCTGAGTTTCATCGTTGATGGCGCCAGTCTTTTCCACCGGTGGATCTTCCACGGCATTCAATGACACCATGCTTTACGATCTCAGCAACACAGGGCGACAAGGGGCGAGAAGAACAGAATCGATGGAGGTGGAGATGCGGAGGAGACGGAGCGTCGTTTGGGCTGGCGCCGTCCGCCGGTGCGATCAGCCAACTTGCTGAGTCCTTTGCATGTCCACTTGCAGAATGATACAGAGACCGATCCAGCACAAAACTTCTATCGTCGTCGTCATCCAGGAGGAGGAGGAGGAGGAGGAGAAGAGGAGGAGGAGGAGGAGGAGGAGAAGAAGAGGAGGTGATGGCGGCTGCCTCGTTTGCGTCGAGAAAAAAAAGCAAAAAACTCAAAAAAAAAAAAAAAAAGCAACACAACGTCACTCAAAAATAGAGGGGAATAGTTTAATTTGCGACTTGTCTGTTGTGTGTGTGTGAAGGGTGCAGGCGATGTGCCATACGGATCGCACACACAAAATCAGAAAAGAACAAGAGTCCTTGAGTCCACACAGGGGGTAGCCAAAGCACCAATTACACCCAGGGGAATGATCCTCGCACACACTACACTGAGCCCTTGCCCACGCCCCGCCATAACTTCACGGGTATGATATACAACAGCTATTCTAAACATATAAATATGACAATAAGTGTAAATGTGACTTTTATCACACAATCGCTTGTTTGCTTACCAACAGGTTTTTTTAGTGTTTTTTTTTTCTCCTTGGTGTGCTCGCTGGGGGCGGCGGTGAATGGCAGCGCGACTCGAGGCTTGATGCGGGGGTGGGATGATCTGATGGGATGTAGCTGCAGCTGGACGTTGAGAAGGGAGAGGGGATGAGGGTATTTGAAAAAAAAATCAAGTAGAATGGACAAGCAAGGACGTCTCTCTCGCCAGCTCGCTTTTCTCTCTCTCTCATCTCTTGCCTGGCGTGTCGTTCGCTGCAGACAGGCAGAACAGATAGGATGGATCGGCAGGATCAGGCGGCCGAGTACCTCGAAGAGCATGGCGTGCTTGATCTCTTCAACAACATGACAGCTCAGCTGGTGTATAATCAACCGGCTGACCCCAAGGCATTCCTGTCGCAGTATTTGGATACGCTGATCGAACGTCGGAATGGCAAGGAGGTGGAAGCCCCGGTCGCCAACTTTTTCGATGCAGAAAACGCCCGTGCCGTCTTTCGTACCTTTGACGCGTCCTCCCGCGGCTTCTTGACCTTGGATCAATACCATGCTGGTCTGTCTCTTTGCTTGCGACGCGGCGCACCAATTTGAGAAGCTCAGCCTTTTGGCGGGCCTCGCGAACCACACCCCGGTCCGGGCTCATAACCTTACGCCCTGCCTTTGTGCCGACGACAGCTATGGGTAGCCTGCTGCTGCACAACTACAATCGTGAGCCCAAGGGATTTGTTGAGGGCCGCATCCTTCCCAATACCTTTGTAGAAGAGTGGTGAGTGGTCGTCAGACCAAACCGGCTTGCCGCCCGCTTGCTTTGTCACTCTGCTTCTCTCATCTGGGCCGTCTACCCCGTGTCATTTCTGCCCCGCATTCATGCGTTTTGCCTACTACTAGTGAGCTGGCGTGTCAGAACATTCTGTGAATGTTGCGCGTCAACTTCAAGTCCCGCTGTGTGGGCTCACATGCGTCTCGAGCAGCTGATGTCGGCGTTCCCGCTCTCGCCCTCGCCTGCTTGCGTCCATGATGTGATGATGTGCAGCGCTGCTTGCGACTCATGTGTGTTTAGGGTATCCCCTTTCTCTTGTCCCGTCCATTTTGTGCAAAGTCTCTATTGTTACATCCGCAATTCCAAACAACCTTTAAAGTTTCTTGCAGCCATTCTTTCAACGTCTTCTTTTACCATCCTCCTCGGCTCTTCGCCAATCCCCAATCGGTCAGGTTGCGGCCTAAATCTTTTCAATTAAAGGGTCAAATGATTCATTTATTATTATGATAAAGCTCTCCCACAAAAGCCCGGAGGTAGTGAGTTGCGGCTGCCAAGCTGCCGCAATCACCACACTGTGCTACGACATGGTCTGTGCCTGGGTCAAAGCCGAGAGAACGGTCGAGGGAGCCGCACGTGTCACGGGCCCCGGCCGTCGCTGTCGCGATGGCCGCTGCGCTTGTCCAGTGTAGGTCATTTTGATCGGCGCCGGCCCCCCTGCTCGGGTGACCGTGGACGTGCTCGCGGTGCTCGTCATGACGCCGCCGCCAGCGTGCTTGATGGTGCTTCCCGAACCTCGGACCGAATCGCGCGAAGCCCCTCGTGTCGAGCCTCGCACGGTGCCTGCTCGCGTGGCGTTTAAAGAGCGCTGCTCACGTCGCTGTGCCAGGGTCTGACGGAGGGTTTCAGTCTTGGCATCGGCCTTTGGTAAGGTTTGGCGCAGTTGCTGTGCCATGGTCAGCTCCTGGCGCCGCGCCACTGCGCGATCTTCGCGAGCCTGCTCCACTACGCGCCGCTTTTGATCCAGCATCTCATCCTTGGCCAGTTTGAGATCAAACAACATCTGGCGCTTCAGTTCTTCCTCCTCAAGTTGCTGTTCCCGCAGCAGATCAAGTCGTGCTCGCAGCTCAACAATGGACATTTCATTTAGCAAGCCGTGATTCCCGGTTTCTGTCAAATCCACCACTCGCGTCCGATCCGTGGGAATGGCCTCCAACGCCCGAATCTCGCTGCGTATCGTTTCCGACGCAAGGTACGAGGTCAGATGTCAGGTACAAGGAAGAATGTTGAAAAAGAACAAACAAACAAACAAACAAAAAATCAAGAACAACACAAAAAAAACCAAAAAAAAAAAAACAAAAACAAAAACAAACCAAACCCCTCACCCTTCCCCCCCCCCCCTCCAAGAAGAAATTGCGAGACCGTTGGACACGAGCGTTCATGTGTCGCACTTCGCGACCTACCGAATCAGGTCTGCGCGTCGCTCGAGGTCGGCTGCTGCCTCAATTTCTGCTTGACGGCGCAGGTCCTCCAACTCCCGCCGCAGCTGCGACGAGGTCACCTGGTTCTCCGCCAGGACCGCGGCCTTGGCTTCAGAGACTTGCTCGCGTGCCTGGCGTGTTGCCTCGACGTGCTCCTTACGCAGCTCAGCCTCCCGCTCCTGCTCCTCAAGGAGACGCAGGCGGGCCTCTTGTTGGCGCAGTTTAAGCTCGGCGGCGGCCTTTAAGTTTTGTTGTTCCACCTCCTGACGCGCCAGGATGGCTTCTTCACGGGAAAGCTGACCCGCCAACACATTCTTTTCGACATCCGCCAAGCGCTGCGCTTCCGCCTCCAGCCTCGCCTGTCGATCGCGATCAGCCATCTCCTCTTCATCAAAGTCGCCCCGCGCCAAACCCTCCAAGCGGGCAAGCTCAGCTTCTTGCTGCTTTCGAAAGCGCAGCTCCTCGCGCAAGATGGCTGCAGCATTGAGGCGCACGTTCTTGTTCTGCAGCACGGCTGCTGGAACGGGACGCGCCCGATGTGTGTGTGCCGGCAGTTCCTCCAGCTCTCGCGCCCGCTAAAACACACCCGCATGCCAGCATCGAGATCAGTCACTGGCGTGTACAAACAGGAGAAATGAGCTGCGAAGCGTCAAGGACTGAGACTGGCCCACTTTACCTGTTCCGTCATGTATGCCTTGCGTGCCAAATCACCCATGGTGGGTGCACAGCGCGGGGCCTGCTCTGCAGCCAACCGTGCTCTGATGGAAATGGTCAAGACCAGAGGTGGATGCGCCAACCAGAAGGGTGAGCGCGTGGGGAGGAGAAACGCGTAGGGGACAGTCGCGTGCGCAATCACCGAGCAAGAGACCTACGTGCGCTCTGCTTTGTCGCGATTTGATCGGCGCTTGCGCTCCAGTGCGGCCTCCTCTAGCGGGGTTCGGTACACCGAACTAGGGCATTACCAACAGTTAAACGATCGTGAGCACGAGTGTGCAGAGGCGAGAGCCGGGGACAAAAGGGCTTGGCTCACGGGAGCACGGAGGGGGAGCAAGCAGAACCAACAGAGGAATGTCACGGGCTTTGATGACGCCACCCACGGGCTCTTCGGCTGGCAAATATACAGGTCGATGTCTGCAGAGAAACCGCCGCGATAAAACGCGTGAGTTGACCAGCTCCCCCTTCTGAAGATCCCGCAGAGGTAACGTACTGAGGCTCGGTGAGGTTGAATGGGGCAGGCTGCGTGAGGCGCACGGCAGCCCGTAACGTATCTCGGGTGCCATTGCTTGGCGATGACACGCGCGCCTGGAGAGCAGCAAGCGCCTGAACAATTGTTGCACCGTCAGATGTGATATACGTGGAGCACGGGTCTGGTGGTAACGGTTGGTGCTGGGTGGTTGCAGTGAGCGGACCCACCTGCATCAGGGAATCTCCGTACTCGAGCAGGGGCCCAACCAGGTGCGTCTGTACGTAGTCATCATCATAAACCTTGAGCCATTCGTCGTGGAGAAAGCCCCTGCGTGGCACGCGCGGGCCGTTAGGCGGCGGAGGCGGAAGGACGTCGGGCCGAGGCAAGCTCTGAGGTGCGAACGCACAAAATATTTTCGCGATCGGTGAGAAAGCCGAAGAAACGGAGTAGCTTGTCGATGAGCACATCTTCAATCAGCTCCACCAGCGTCACGACGCCGAGCTCGCCCAGACGCATGGTGCCGAGATAGGCCAATACTGCGAGCGGCGATCCATAGATGGGTGTGAGTCATTGGATGGCCTGGCTCTTGGCGGCACTGCTCTCGAACGCCAGAAAAGGCCGACAGCATGCTGGAAGGCAGGTAACCCATCAACAAGAATGGACGCACTCGAGTACAGGGGGCGATCGCTGCGGAGGGCGCGAACAGGTTCATGGGCAAAGAAGCTATTGACGGGGACGCGAAGCGCGCGGTGATGCTTGAGGCAGCCATTGTACACCTCCTGCACAAAGGTTTCTGTGTCTGCATCCAGCTAAGGGTCGCGAGATGAGAGGGAGCAATGTTGAGCGTTGCCTTGAAGAGTGGGTGACATTTAAGTGCGCGCGCCGGCCCAGACTCACTTGTTGCGCTGCACAAAAATTGGCCAAGATCACATCTGGCGTGCGAACGGTATCCTCTGCGCTTGCCTAGCACCACAAAGCATCAACAGCATCGCAGAGTCATGCCACTGGGCAAACGCGAGAAGCGAGAGAAGCATGCTCGAGGTCGCCGCGAGGCAACATGCAATTGTAGATTCCGGCGGCGCGCAAACACCGCTCGGACAGCCTCGCGCCTCGAGCACCAGCTCCAGCCCTCCCACCCCTAGCAAGCCACCATGCCCCACCAAAACGCCAAGAACCCAAGAACCCAAGCCCAAGCCCCGAGCCCCGAGCGGCAGAGCGAGATCATGAGCAGGCAGGGAACAGCGCCGACTGACCTTGAGCGCGGCGACGCAGAGGTCCAGCAGACGTGTCATGACGGTATCCAAGCAAAATAAATGTAAATGCTTGGAGACATGTATTTTCTCATGCAAACCATTCAGGTTTTGCGATAACCACATCTTGCCTTTGGCAACTTCACTGCAACCGTCCACCTTGTAAGACGTCCATCTAAACCGAAGATCACTCCTTGAAAGTAAAGCAACATCTTTAACACACCCTCTCGAATATTAACCCAAACTCATTTTTCTCTCTCTCTCTCGGTCTTCCCGCTTCCTGCTACCAAGTGTCATGGCCACGCGCGTGTTCCGGCGCTTCGCGTCCACTGCGGCCAAAACGGCAGCCGGTGAGTGCTTCTTTCGCTCCCGCTTGCCCCTTCCCCGGCGGGGTGTGGGTGTTGTTGGTTGGTTGGTTGGGCCTGCTGGGGATGGATCTTTTCAGGTGTTGAGGGTGTTGAGGGGTGGGGCGTGTTGTTTCAGCTGGCTCGTGCGATCATCCGCACAATGGGCGGACGGGGCACATGGCTGGCCAGCTGGGCCGTCAACATGATGGCTTGTGCGGGTTGCCAGCTATTGTGGGTGGGTGGTGTTGGTCAATGGGTGCTGGTCCAGACATCATTCAAAGGGCGGCTCATCCGCCCTTTTTGGATGAAAAACGTCCCCGTGCCCATCCCCCACCTGCTCGACCTGCTGGGCGTTTTATGTTTCCTTTCCTTGACCTGGGCATGCCGTCCTTTCCCTTTGTGGCAAACCCCGGGCCCTCTTTCTATTCTTTTGCGTTTTGATTCTCTTCTCATTACCTATTAGCCAGGGCTGTCAAGGAAACCCACTTGCACCGGCTGCTTGGTGGTTGTCCCGAGCTGTCGGGATTTTACATCTTTTTGGTTACCATGCACCTGCCACCACGGTCTCATGTTTTTGCCGTTCTTTGCAATGCCTTGTAGCCAACTCTGGCTTGACCAAGTATGGTGGCCGCCGCACCGTCACTCTGATCCCCGGTGATGGCGTTGGGCCCGAGCTCACCGCTGCCGTTCAGCGCGTCTTCAAGTGCGTTTGGTCCCCCGTCACTTTCGCGTTGCCCCGTCCTCCCCTCTGTTCTCTGCTAGCTCTGGTCATCATGCTCACACCCCTGGTCTGCGCCCTCGATTCATGGCATCCGAACCAACTCTCTCCAGGGGCATGCGTGCGCCCATTGATTTTGAGGAGATTGCCTTCCAGTACGTCTTCCTTCAGCTCTCCCTTGTTCTTTTTCTTGGGATCCAACAGAGGGCTAACGCTGTTTGCAATGGGTGGTCTTCTCACTCGCCCCTTCCTCATGTACTTGTAGCGGTACCGATGACAATGCGGTTGAGAAGGTGCAAGAGGCCATCACCTCCCTGCGCCGCAACGGCGTTGGCCTCAAGGGTGGGTTCTTTTTTTTTTTCTTTTTTTTTTTTTTTTTCTTTCGTTTTCTTTCTCGACTCTCGGCTCACAGCATACACAAATTACGTTTGGCGTTGCGTGCGAGCTTCTTCTCACCAATTTGCGTCCTTTTTTTTATTCTGCTCGTGTACAGGTGTGTTGTCGACGCCTCGTGGTCGTGCCACTCGCAAGTCGTTGAACATGCAGCTCCGCACTGAGCTGGACCTGTACGCCAACGTCATCCTCTGCAAGTCCCCCGAGGGCATGGATACCCGCCACAAGGGCGTTGATGTCGTCGTTGTGCGTCAGAACACCGAGGCCGAGTACACTGGTCTTGAGCACGAGGTAGGCTCATAATTCTTTTTGCTCGCGCCGTTTCTTTGGTCTGCTAGTCAGTCATGTGTGTTTTTTTTTTTTCCTTTTCTTTTCAATACATCACTTTTTCATGCAAATGCTCACATGACCGTCAACTTTCGCAGATCTCGCCTGGCGTTGTCGAGAGCCTCAAGGTTATCTCCCGCGAGGAGTCGATCCGCATTGCCAAGTTTGCCTTTGACTATGCCCAGCGCGTATGTTGTTCAACGTCCTGCCTGGGCGCTCTCCCTGCTCCTTGCCTTGAAGTACCGGTATCAGATCGCACCTGACTGCTTTGGGTGTCCTTTCTGGGTCCCTTCTTGTCTGCCCACACAGAACGGTCGCAAGAAAGTGACGGCGGTTCACAAGGCCAACATTATGAAGCAGGGTGATGGTCTCTTCCTCAAGTGCTGCAAGGAAATTTCTGCCCTGTATCCCGACATTGTTTTCGAGCCCATGATTGTTGACAATACCAGCATGCAGCTTGTCTCCAAGCCTCAGCAGTTTGATGTCATGGTCACCCCCAACTTGTATGGCAACATTATTGGCAACATTGGTGCTGGTCTCGTCGGCGGCGCTGGCATGGTTGCCGGCTTTAACGTCGGCTATGACTTTGCCGTCTTTGAGCCCGGAGCACGCCAGGCCGGTGACATTGTTGCCGGCAAGCCCTCGGTCTCGCCCGTGGGCATGCTCTCCTCGGCTGCCCTCATGCTCCAGCACCTGGGTATGGACACCTATGCCGCCGCTCTCCAAAAAGCCCTGGACGAGGTCGTCCAGGAGGGTGTCGTTCGCACCAAGGACATGGGTGGCGACAGCACCACGGAGGATTTCACGGATGCCATCCTCGCCAAGGTCGCCGTTTAAATTGCGCCCATGCTTCACCCGGCCTGAGCTATCGTGTTTCTTTCGGCATATTCAACCGCTGTTTTGATCTCCCTCATTGAGGCTGGATCCTTTGACATTTGCCCGTACTGCTTTTTCGATTGGATTCGAAACGCCATGTGCTCGAGTCTTGCAATTGCGGCCTCTTGCGCACCACTCCTCTGCTTTTTCCGTCGCCCTTCCTCTGACTTTTTTTTCTCTTCATTTGACATGGTCTTCATCATGCATGATCTTACAGGTGGCCTCAATCCGTATGGCGCCCCTGCAAAGTGTTTTTTTTTTCTTTTTGCCTTTGCCTTTTCGTGTTGGCCATGCCCACCTCTCTTTGCCTTTTTTTTGTTGAGTGTTTTTGCTTGTTCCTTCTTTTTTTTTTTTAGTTGAATCCATCCATAGGCACATTAAAAGTCGTGGCGACAATGGCAGTGGTGTTATGTCAACTCTATTTTGGGGTGACATGGGCCTTCTCAACATCGGGGACCACTAGGGGCAGCCTAAACTTACTTAAAAAGTGAAGTTGCCAGATGCGGTCAGGGGCACTGTCGCGGTCTCGAAGGGGTCCTGATTTTCAACAAACAACACTGCCTTGACATGCGTGTAATCCTGAGGCGAGCCAATGTAGCCGGGGGCCACCGTCGATTGCCACGACAAAGTGCGATTCATGCTCGTGTAGACAAACTGTGTGTCCTTGGTCAAGCCCTTTTGGTAGTTGAGTGAGTGGCCATCGTCCTCGACCAGCGTCATGGTACCGTCAGCCTTGTCGTACACGTGGACCTCGAGAACACCACCCAGGTCATCAGAGCGCTGCACTTTTTCCTGTGAGCAAGCGGTCAGCACCGTGGGTGAGGCAGTGAGATGTGTTGCAGCAAGGAGCAACATGGGTTGGGCATGGATTTGGCTTTGTCACTGCAAAAGAAATGCATTGCGGAACAATCGCGACCAACCTGGTTGGTGAGCAAGATCGCGCCCGCTCGCACAAAGATTGGAAAATCCTGCAGGCCGAGGGTCTGGCGGACAGTGGTGGGACCCTGGTACGTCTGGGAGGACTCAAATGCAAACCAGGTGCCGGCCGGCAGGTAGGTGTTGGACTGGTTTTCGATATTTAGGTGCTGCGGTCCGGAGGCGTGATCGTAGTACGTGGCTGCCAGCTCGCCGGGAATGATGGTCTTGCCCACCATGTAAAACTCATTCTCATCCGAGGGAAATTCGTACCAGCCCGGGTGAGCAATGGGTTCGCCGTTGCGGTACAGGTTGTGGGCCAGGGAGTACATGTGGGGGAGCAGGCGATAGCGCAGGTTGAGGGCGTTGCGAAAGCCCACGCAGTGCTCATCCGTGCCGTTCCCAGCGCTTCCGGCCCCACACCAGAAAAAGGGAAAGCGAGGCGTGCCTGCGACCAAGGTCAATGGCGCATGAGTACGTGGTAGCAATCTGATCGTACGGGCGGCTGGCAAATGCGGTCCAGCCGGCTCGGCGGAGCGGCAAAGATAACCGGCATATTCTTACCCTTCATTTGGTGCACGCGCATGATGGGAAAGAAGACGCTGGCCTGGTACTGGCGCAGGAGGACGGTGGCGTCCGGGCTGGTCATGTCGCAGGTGGTGTACGGTTGGCCGTTGACAATGAAATGCAGCATGTAGGCATGGGAGCAGTTTTGTGGATCGCCAGTCCAGGTCGAGGCGGGGAAGCGTTGCATGCCGGGCTGGAAGGCGCGGTTGATGGTGAACATGCGCTCATTGGGGCGAACGGCCTCCCATTCTTGCTGTTGCGCCATGTTCCAATAGAGGTAGGTGTACCATTGGGTTTCACCTTCGTCGTTCCACCAGTAGTCGACACCATCTTCAAGAAAGTGAAGATGATTCTGAGTGTACCTGCGTGCCAGTGCGTGGATCGAGCCAGATGGACTCAAGGTGAGCGGGGCAAAAAACAAAACACTCAGGGCACACGAAGGTTGAGTAAAAGTCAAATGGTGTAACACATACCAAGCTCGAAAGTCAGCGTTGCTATAGTTCCAGTTGTTGTCACCAGCACCGACGCTGTAGTTGTCAGGCAATAGCCAGCCGCTTGAGTTGCAAAAGTCGATGTTGGAATAGGTGCGGGGTTTGCGGATGCCTGGAACAAGTCGCAAGCTGAGCATGGGCAAGAGTGCCGAGGCGGGCACCCGAATGCAGAGACTTACCAGCCCAGCGAAAATTCATGACGCTGTGGAAAAAGTTGAGCAGCTCCGCGGGCCCGGAGGTCTGGTAGGTTTGTCCATTGTACGTGAAGGTTTCATTGCCCCAAAAGTCGGGCTTGTATCCAAAGTCACCACAATTGAGGGGCGCTGCGATGGTTGACAAAAAGTCGGGACACAAGGGGCAGAGAGCGGTTTGGTCATGTGGTGAGTCCAGAGAGGGAGTGTTTGTGGTTGTTGTGGTTGAAGGCGGTTGGGGAGAGGGAGCTACATACCAGAGCCGTCGCAAGCATCCGGACCTAAGATGACAAGGGGAGGGGAGGTGCAAAGGCGACTTGAGACTCGGTAATGTTGGCCAAATGAAAACAAAAAATTTAATGATCATATTGCCTGTCTCAGCTTGGAACGTACCAAACCAGTCGTAATCCATGATGAAGCTATCAATGGGGTACATTTCGTTGCGGAAGCGGCTCATGTTGGTCTGGACCTCCTGCATTTAGGGTATGCGGGGATTCATGGCGGAAAGAAATTGGAAAGGGGGTGAGGCAACCTATGAAGGCGGGAATGTCCCAATCAGGTGAAATGCCGATGGCTTTTGGGGGGGACCCCAATGTCGCACCTGCATGGTATCGTAGCCCCAGTAGGTGGCCATGAAGCCCATGGTGTGGCGGGGTGGCACGGCGGCGGCCCCAGTGAGCTCAAAATAGACACTGCTGTAGGAGTAGCCATCTTGGGGCATGGCAAAATACCTGGGCAGGAGCAAGTGTGCATCCGTGTTGGTGAGCGGTGGGCTAACTCGGGCGGTCGACAGGGCTAAAATGGGACGTACCAGTCTGCGGCGTGGCCGAGGATCCACCAGCCGGCGCGAGGGGCGATTCCGTTGGAAGAAAAGCCGGCTCCATAGCAGTGCACGTCCTTGGGGTCGTTTTCATAAGGGCTGACAGCAAAAGCAAAGACCTTGCCCTCCTCATCATAGTACATGGGGGCAGAGAAGACGCCATTGTTGAGGCAGGGCTGTGGGGTACCGTCTGGCTGGCTGGTGTTGATGGGAAGCTGCATGTAGCCTTGGTCCTGGTCCACGAAGGTAGGGCTGCCTTTGCTCGAGGCAAAGACGTTGCGGTGGGCGTCATACAGGACCCAGGATCCATCATTGCCCGTCACCAGGGCGCCGGCGCCAGTGGCCACACCAGTTCGGCCGTTGATGGTCACGTTCTGGGGTGTGGGCATGTGGCGACTGGCATCCAAGGACGGGGTTTCCAGTGCCTATACAAACCCCGCCGCAAATCGGCTGGTGAGACGATGGAGATGTACGATAAACTAGAAGCAAGAACCAGGTGCGCGCGCCGACAACGAGGGGGCGAGGGGGAGGGAAGCAAGACGACAGCGAGGAACGCACCGAAAAGTCGTTGGGATCAAGGCGCACGCTGAGACGAAAGGTGCGATCAGAGCCAACAAAGGCCCGCACATAAACCTGATTATCCCCTTGCACCGATCCTGAATTCAGGGCCAAACCCAGAGCCAGAACCAGGAGCAAACTCCGCATCCGCATCGGCGCCGCCATCTCCGCGAGTCAGTGACACACACACACACTCTCTCTCTCTCGAAAAAAAAAAAAAAAAAAAAAATGCACGCGATTCAAGGAGAACAAAAGTATTTTCAAGTACAGCCCCCAGCCAAGAGCCACAAATGGTGAATCAGAATAAAGTATTATACTAAATCTTGGATGAGGCAAGGGGTTTCTTGTTCAGACATGTTTTTCTCTCTCTGTCTCTCTCTCCTCTCTCTGTCTCTGTGTCTCTCTCTGTCTGTCTGTCTGTCTGTCTGTCTCTCTCTCTCTCTCTCTCTCTCTCTCTCTCTCTCTCTCTCTTTCGCGAGTCGGCGCGCATTTTTTTTTTTTTTTTCAACGGCAGTTCTCCTCATCTGCCGTTTGATCTTTCTCTCTCTCTACGCTGCTTCCCCCTTGCTCCTTGATCCCCACATTTCTCTCTCTCTTCTCCTTGGTCCCCACACTTGCCACCCCGCTGCTCCTCACTGCTGCTCGACGGTCGCCTCGCTCCCTCGCTCCCTCGCTTGGGGCCTTCTCTGGACGCTCCCCATCATCTACCCCCCCCCACCCTGGCTCGTTGCTCTTGTTCTTCGTCCTGTCCCTTGCTCGCTCTCTGCGCCCGCTTCCAAGTTTCCGGTTCGCCTCGGTGCTTTGGGCTGTGGCCTATATGTTCGGGATGTGAGGAGCCGGGCTCACGTCGCATCATGAGCCGTGGGGCTGCGAGTGTGCCCATTGTGGATGATGGCGATGGCGAGGCTGACGCCCGGTTCCGCGGTCGTGGTGGCGGTGGCTGGAACTTTGTACGGTTTTCCCTGCCCTCTGACGCTCGCTCACACCTGCTTTTGATTCCCCAAGTTTCACCCTGGCTCGTCTACTTTGATGGGTGCGAGCAGAGTGAGTACATGTCGATGAAGAAAAGCAAGCTGCAAGACCAGTATCATCAAGCCGTTCCTGCCAAGTATGTCTCTCAATCCTGCCTCACAGTCCCCTAGCCTCTCCTCCCTTTGTGGTGTGACCCGTGTCCTTCCTGTCTCAATTCTTCGCTGAGAGCACTCCGACTCGTGCCTACTCAACTGTGGCCGGCGCATGCTAGGAGTGATATCTTCCAGGGCCTCTTCATGTACATCAACGGGCGCACAGGTCAGTCCCCGCGATTGAAAGGATTCGAATGCCTTTGTTGCCATGATTGCATCCACCTTCACGTCAGGTCTTGGCCCCCTGGCTTGGACAGATCCCCCAGCCGAGGACTTGCGAACCTTGATCTTGGAACATGGTGGCAGTCATACCCTCTACTACTCTATTACCCACGTGACCCATGTCATTGCCACCAACCTCTGCGGGGCCAAGATCAAGGATCTCAAGTTCGTCCACGATGACCAATGGGCTAGAAACATCTCAGTTCATGTGCTCATTGCCGTCTTTCGCTTGCCGATTTTTCAGGAATAAGAAGATTGTGACCCCGCAGTGGCTCTTGGATAGCGTGCAAGCCGGAGCTCGGCTGCCCATCGGACCGTATCTAGTGTACCACCGCGAGGGCATTAATCAGCAGCGTCTCGACTTTGCTGCTGCTCCCACAACGGCCAAAACGACCCTGCACGGTTTGCACGAAGATCCAAATCAGCCGACCGAACCCTCCTCGCCGCCGCCGCTCGTGGGCGTGGTCTGCGAGCCGACAACAATATCCCCAGAGACCGTCCCGCAGGGGTCAAACTCTCCATCGCCACCCCCTCGCCTGGCACCCACCTCGCCCGCGCCACCAGTGGCTGCAGCGACGCACACGGATGCCAATGAACCAAAGGGCGGGGAGCTGCGACGCTATGGCCCCATGGTCTCGGGCAACAATCCCAACTTTATCGAGCAGTACTATGCCCAATCACGGCTCCACCACCTGTCTACCTCTGGTGCCGAGGCCAAGGCCTACGTGCGACGCTTGCAGCGAGAAGCCGTGGCCGCGGGCCAGCAATTAACTGCCTTTAGCACGGACTACACGCCGGGTCGGGTCATCGTGCACATTGACTTGGACGCGTTTTTTGTCTCCATTGCTCTTCGAGAGCGGCAGGAGCTACAGGACCAACCGGTGGCGATCGCCCATTCGGGCCGCGAGGGCAGCAGTGAGATCTCATCTTGCAATTACCCCGCTCGTCAATTTGGCATTCGCAACGGCATGAGCATGCGTCGTGCGCTGGCCGCTTGTCCCCATCTCCAGGTATCGAGCGGCGGCCCTCTTCTTGTTGTCATTTCTCTTTCTGGCCCTCACCCTCTCGTCTGGCTGCACCACCTCTTCCCCTACTCTCTTCTCTGGCTATCAACTAGACACTGCCCTATGAATTTGATAAGTACAAGCTGGCCAGCCAGGCCTTTTATCGACTCCTGACGGCACGCACGTTGCGAATTCAAGCCGTCTCTATGGACGAAGCGTACCTGGACCTCACGGGCCTTGTTCGCCCTGATTACAGCCCCCATCTCTGGCAGGCGGTCCAGCAACGACAGCACGAGGGTCACCCGCCTTTGTCGCCCGCACCATTGCAGGAGGCATCGCTGCCTGTCCCGACTCAATCTGCCACCGAGTTTGTCGCTGAATTGCGTACGGCCATTGCAGAGGAACTTGGCATTGCGGCCAGTGCTGGTATTGGACCCAATGTGTTGTTGGCCCGCTTGTGCACACGTCTAGCCAAGCCCAATGGGCTCTACAGTTATGCTGAAGCCAATGTGGAGCGCTTTATCGACCAGACGGCACTGAAAGATCTACCTGGGGTTGGCTGGTGCACGGCAGGACGGCTGACCACCATGGGCATTGCCTCCTGCGCCGATCTACGGGCTCTGCCCTTGGACCGGCTGCAAGCCGATTTTGGTCACAAGAACGGGCAAGCCCTGTACAATGCCTGTCGGGGCATAGATCCATCCCCGCTCAAGGACAACGCCCCGCCCAAGTCGGTGTCCGTTGAGATCACCTGGGGCGTGCGCTTCGACAAGGATGCCCAGGTTGACACTTTTGTGAGCAACCTCTGCCGGGAGGTGTGCAGTCGCCTCGAGGCTGTAGGCCAGCTTGCCACTCGCGTGACGCTAAAGATCAAGCAGCGCAAGCCCGATGCCGGCGATCCTCACAAGCGGCTCGGCCATGGACCCTGCGACGATCGCAACCGATCAACTGCCCTACCCTCGCCGACTGACGATCTGGCTACCATCACGGCCACGTGCCTTGAATTGACCCATCTCTTGGCGGTGCCAGTTCTTGATGTGCGAGGTATCGGCATATCCCTCCACGCGCTAGTGGCGCGGGAGGCAGCCCCACCTCTGACAGATGGCTCGGGGGCAAGTCGATCCGCACCTCCCCGGCGTGCGACCAGTCTGGACCGTTTTCTCGTTGGGCGGGGCGAAACTAGAGCTGGCGTCGGTGGCACGATCAAGGTCAAGGCCAAGACACCTGCACCTCAGGCAGGGAATCAGCATCCAACGCGTGCTTGGCCACCGGGCACCACGGCATTGTCATCGACGTCGGCCTCAGCCTCAGCCTCGACCTCGACTTTGGCGCCTCCCCCCGCCGTAGCGTCGGCGACCGCCACGAGAACACCAGCTTCTGCCGCCGCTGCAATGACGGTATGACACTGAGTGTAGGGTCTGCTTTTTTTGTCCGTTCTTCATGTCCTCCAACGCGCCCTTTGTGCTGCGTGTTTCGTGTGACGCTTGATTCAATCCGCCGCTGTCGTTAGATTGATGCATCAGTGCTGGCTGAACTGCCCGAGGAAATTAGGAAGGAATACGCACACCTGGTCCCGCCACAAGCAGCAGACTCGGACGAGCTGCTTGTCATCGGGGCCACGCCGCCAGACGAAGAGCTGCTTCGTGTGAATGGGCACAATCGAACTGAACACACCGCCATCAAGGAGGATGAGGATGAGGTGGACAGTAGCATCGAAGTGTTGTCCAGCCGTGGCTGCGATACGCCGGCCCCTGGCCGGGCTGCGGCGGCTGCCATGCAGAGCGGTATGGGGGAGGACCATGCTGCAACACACACAGCCGTGCGTGGCCTGCCTTTGGTGCCCAGCGCCTCGCAGTCTAGCTTCATCTCACCATCACAATGGAACGCCGATGTGCTTTCCGAGCTTCCGCGAGAGCTGGTTCAACAGCTGAAGGAAGAGGCTTCTGCCGAGCGACGGCGGCGAGCAGAACGTGCTGCCGAAGCTCGTCGTAGCGAAGAGGTGCTTCGCACGCTGCAGGGGAGCGAGGGCAGTCCTCCACTGCCAGCTCGCAAGCGTGTGCATGCTCTCGCAGACGGCGGTGGTGGCAGCGGGATTCGCATGGATGTGAATGCGGTGCCCTTGGCCGAGCAGCCGCTCGTGTCGCGTCGGCGCAAGACGCCCCAGCCTGCACTTCGATCCACCTCGTTGGCGGCGCAAACTGGAGCAGCGGAGCCAGTGCGAGTGATTGCACGGCCGGTACGGGGGGAAGAAGTTGTGTTTCCGTTTGCAGTCGATGGACCGGCCACGCAGGAGCTGGAGCCAGCGCCGGAGCTTTGTGGCTGCACGGGGTTTCGAGCATGGAAGGGCATTGTACACGACTGGGTGGGGTTGAATGCAACGGCAGCGACGAGTGCTCGCCTCGAGCAAGTGGGTAGGCTGGTGCTGGGCTTGGTGCAACACCGTCGTCTGGAGGAGTGCGTGACGCTCGTCCGCATGCTGCACCGCCTTACCTATCGTCAAGAGCCATCACCTTGGCAAGACTTTTATCCCATCCTCTTGGACCGGATACAAGCACGCATGTTCAGCCTCTTTTCCACCCAGCTGGCCCTACCCAATCCACCCTCGCGTCACCCGGGCCCATAGTCGTCTTGACTTGCATGGTGCTTCCCCCTCCCTCCCATACATTCGACGACCGTTCATCATTTCCCATAGTCAGGTCGCTGAGCGACAAATTGATGATGACATTTTAACGTGTGTGTCTCTCTCTCTGCAACGGTCTCTTGGTTCCATGTCTAGTTTGGCTAAACGTCAGACACCATCTCTGGTTTGGCCCTTTTTAGCTGGCTTGGCGCCTTGGCTACAGCTCTCCCTCTCTGTGTTTCTCTCCCTCTCACATGCCCCTCTACTTCCAATCTCTCTCTCTCTCTCTCTCTCTCTCTCTCTGCGCGAATGCGTCTGACATTTTGTTCGAGAGGAGAAAAGAGAGAGAGAGCGCGCGCGCGCGCGGAGGACGACGACCATGGTGACGACGGCGGTGAGGGCGGGGGCGCTGGCTGAGGAGGCGCCAGAGAAGGTGCGGGATCATGAGGCTGTGAGTGTGCCTGTGGAGGGAAACAAGACTGGATCAGTGGCGGCACCCTCGGCACCCAGGTGAGGTTGTTCGGCTTGTGTATGTGGCGTTGCAGGTGGCGCGCGTGGCTGTTCGTTGTGAGCAGGCTCGTCGGGTTTGTCTCTCCTCACACTGGGGGTGCATGCGTGGCTTTGCTAGCTCGGTCATCATGTCGCTGGTTGCTGGTGCCATCTTCATGTTCACGGGCCCGGCTGTGATCATCATCAACAAGATGATCCTGGTCGACTACGACTTTAACTATCCAACTCTTCTCGCCAGCGTTGGCGGATTCGCTAGTGCCGGCGTGGCAGGCATCCTCCTCGTCTCGGGCAAGGTCAGTGATGTCTTGTTCCTGGACGCCCAGCAGCCGTGTTTGATGACCTGGCACGTCAAACCCCCTTCTATTGTTGCACTCATCGGCTTCAAACCTGTCTTTTGGTTTTTCTTTTTTTTTTTTTTCTGGGCGGGGGGTTGAACTCGCCCGACGACGTAGTCCAAACTGCAGCACGAGCATGTGGTCGATCGCCGCTTTTTCCTGACCAGCATTCTTCCCGTCGCTGTTTTCGGTGGACTTGCTCTGACGTACGCCACATCGCTTGAACCTTGCTTTTCGACCTCTGTGATCTCGCGATCACTCGAGCCGCTCCCGCTGCTTGCTTCTTTGGCACCCAGTTGATGTACGGTACCTTTTTTGTGTGTGTCTGTTGCCCAGAACTGGCAACATGTCCTACAGCTATCTGACCGTCAGCTTTATACAGATGCTCAAGGTTGGACGGGGAAGAGGGCCAGAAAGAGTTGAATACTTTGATGCTGCACTTGCTTTGGTCTCTGAACGCGTGCGACGGGCGACCGCTTTTCGACCCCCACCTCCTTTTATTCATTCTCTTTGTCTTTGGCTGCTACGATTGACAGGCGCTCACCCCCGTTGCGACAATGGTCCTGCTGACCTCGGCTGGTTTGCTCAATCCCAAACCGCAAGCCATGTATGCAGTCTTTGCAATGACGATTTTTACAGCGGCAGCAGGTGCGCCTTTTTTGTGACTTGCAGCTCATCAAGAATCGACAAAGTGGGTGCTTTGCGAGTGGTTTGGAAACTGACCCATCATTCCACCGGGATGCAGCATACGGCGAGTTGAATTTCAATCTGGGTGGTTTCCTCGTCATGACAGCCAGCGGTATGTTTACACACGTTCGGTGGTGACGATGACCTGCGCCACTTGGTATCTGCTAACCTGATGATCGTGGCTTGCTGCAGTGGGTTTGGAGTCGAGCAAAATGCTAATGACACAGAAGCTATTTACGGGCAAGGTGGCCTTTTCCGTGGTCGAGTCGCAATACTATCTCGGTCTTCCCACGTGAGTCACTTTGACCTGCCTCCACTTTTGAGGGAGAAAAGCCGGTGGCTTTGTATTGCCTCATTTCCGTTCTCGATCCTTGCAGTGGCGTGGTCCTGATCGGTGTTGCCATGTATGAAGAGCTGCCACGCATGTTCCAGTCTGGAGGTATGGCGGGAATCGTGTCGACGGTTGCTGGTAGGCTCACACACACACTCGTCTCTGACAGCGTGGTTGGGGTTTGCCACATAGACTATCAACGGTTGTCAGAACTGGGTATGCCGCTGACGCTGAGCATCCTGTTGACATTGGCGGTCATCTATTCCTCTTTTTTTGTCATCAAAGTGATGAACAGTCTCATGCTCAAGGTGTGGCACTGCGGAGGGTCGTAGAGTGGCTGTAAGGGGGCAAGGGCGCGGTTAGTCTGCAAGCTTTGTGTCCACGCTTTGCATAACACGTGTGTCTGCCTATTTGTGCCCGACAGCTGTTGGCCGCGGTGCGCAACGCGCTTTTGGTGATGTTTTGCGCCCTGGTGCTCGGAGAGCAAGTCTCCGCCTGGCAAGGCGTCTGCTACGTGGCCACGCTGGTTGCGTTTGCTTACTATAACATGATCAAGTAGATCCCGATTGTCCAGATCGGCATGTCCATTGGCCCAAACCTCACGCATCACTGGCCTATCGTGATGTGTGTGTGTGTGTGTGTGTGTGTGTGTGTGTGTGTGTGTGTGTGTGTGTGTGTGTGTGTGTGTGTGTGTGTGTGTGTGTGTGTGTGTGTGTGTGTGTGTGTGTGTGTGTGTGTGTGTGTGTGTGTGTGTGTGCCCTGCGATAACCCGACCTCTACCCTGCCCCCGCTCAACCCGACATCCCCATTCTTGCCTGTTCCGAGCCGGATTGTTTTTAGTTCCGAGTCTGCTGTTGCCACATCTACATGTTAGCCCTGATGAGTTTGTCATCGAACGTCCCCCCTCCCATAGCCCAAATTGCATCCATTGCATAGTCTTACCAACACAAGAAAAAAAATTTCGCCTCCGAATTCTGAATGCTCGTCCTCACCGCGACACCCAAAGAGCGAAAGGGCGAGGCAGACAGGCAGACAGACAGGCAGACAGATAGGCAGACAGACAGACAGACAGACAGACAGACAGACAGACAGATAGACAGACAGACAGAGATACACACATAGAAAGAGAGAGAGGGAGAAAGAGCGAAAAGCGAGAAGGAACTGGAAACTTTTACATGAACATGAACGTCTCTCTCTCTACATCTCTCTCTCTCTCTCTAAATTCCTCTAAAACTCTCTCTCTCTCTCTCTTCATCTCTCTCTCTCTCTCGCTCTTCATCTCTCTCTCTCGACATCCCTCATCTCGCTCTCTCGAAATCTCTACATCTCTCTCTCTCTTTAAATCTCTCTCTAAATCTCCCTTAATCTCTCTCTCTCTCTCTCTCTCAAAATCTCTCTCGCAAATTCTCTCTCATTTTTTTTAAAAAATTTATTGTTCAGATCTGTCAGTGGCAGTTGGCTCGCTCGCTCCGATCTGTGTGTGTGGGCGTGCGCTCAAGGTCTTGATCTGGTAGCAACGGGCTGATTGCTGGATTGTACAATGATCGTTTGAGCAGTGGGGGTGGGACACGATGAGCAGGTGGCACGGTCTTGTGGGCTTGCTGGTGGTTCTGGCCATCCTGCCCAGCTGGTGAGTGGGTGTGAGCTGTGGACCGACTGGGGCGGGGCGTATCCGGCATGACACGACGTATTTGCCTTTGCTCATCACGGTAGTGGGCGTGCATGGTAGGACGGCTGCAGCCAAGCGCTCCAAGCAGGAAATTCAGCGCCTGAACAGTCGCTGTGAGGGCTGCGAGAGCATTGCTAAAAACTTTATCAGCGGTACGCGTTGCTTCCCCACCCAGTGCCGCCTTTCCCCGTCGAGCCGAGCTCAAGCTGATGCGCTCATGTCGAACGTGGCGCCGTGGTAGCCTATGATCAACTGAAGAACAACATCGAGTACAGTGGAAGCAGCAAAGGCTGGACCAAGGTGAGCTGTGCCGCCCACTCGGCTGCAGCGAGGTTTTTTTTACTTGCAGCCCTCACTTTGATCCTTGCTGGTTTGGTATCATCAAGGACAATGAAAAGTTTTTGGGACGGTACAGCATGGACGAGGCCCTGCTTGGGGCCTGTTTGGAACAGCTTTGTCCCAAAAGCGATACAAAGTGCGCTCGTGCCAAGTCTCCACATTGCACAGTCTTGTCTCGTCTTTTTCCGACTGTGGTGTCTTCCTCCCNGTGTTGCAGGTGTCTCAACGTAATGAGGACGCTGAGGAACGAATCGAAGAATG